CTTCCTTCTCCTTACCTCAGCGTTCCGCGCGCTCGTTTCGTTCACGACTTCACGACTTCACGACTTCACGACTCACGTTCCGCGCGCTCGGCGCTCTTATTCACGCACGAAGCGAGCCGCGTGGAACGCCGTACCTGTGTTGTTGTCGTCGTGTGAAAACGCAAGATGCACCGTCAGAATTCCATCGTAAAATCCTACAATAGAGACTGATGATCCTGCGAGACGATCGCGATTTCTTCTTATTTCCGTCGTACGGGCTCCGTACAATGACGACTTAAATCGCCGGCGAAATTGGGAGTCGCGCCTCCTCGATCCACGTCGTGCCTTCTTATTTTCTTCTTTCTCTCCTTTCTTCCTTCCTCTCCTTCCTTTTTCTCCCTCTTTTATTTCGCGATCGGAGATATGCCGAATGAAGGCGGAGAGGGTGGAGAGGGTGGAGTTTTGTACGTCGGGTGGGATAAATGGACGGGCCTAACGGCGTGGGAGTGCTAACATCTCGGTCTCGTCATCAGATGCGCACCGGCGATAAAAGCGGCGCCGCGCCACGTCGCGTAGGGTGAGAAGAAGTGGCGGGCGCGAGAAGAGATACCTACCTTAAAGCTTTTTCTTTCTTCGCCCGTCGGGAATCGGGGAATCGGGGAACCGGGGAACCGGGGAACCGGGGAACTGGGAATCGTCACACCACGTCATTCGTAGAACTACTCCCGAGTGTGACCTTTTCTACAAAATAGATTTAACGCACACACGACATCTATCCAATTAGCCGGCGGGAATAATAATTCGAGGGCGCGACGAATGGAAACGTGAAGACCATCCATAAAGTGGGAGAGGGAAAGGGAGGGAACTGTCGGATCGAGCGCAGACCCTTGCTTGCGGCCCGTCAACAAAATCTGCCGTAAAATTCGTTTCAAGGCGGAAGATATTTTTCTTAGAAAACGAATACCGCGAACGAACGTCGTCCACGACGAATGTGCATCCGGCTTAATACCTCGCTGCAGAACGAAGAATGCCGGCAGGTATCTCACGTGAAATCTGCGAAAGCGCCGTCTCCTCTCTTGCCTTCAAACGCAACAACGACGGCGTTGCCTCAGCCTCTCTTCGTCATTTTTCTTTTCTCACCTCGAGGTCCCACATACTCACACACATGTTCACACTTCCCTCCATAGTCCGTACCGTAGATGAAGTACGGCCTCCTTTCGCATCTAATCTGTATTTTTGAAATCGATGAGCGGTTAATATGAAAAGAAAAAAAATAAATGATAAAATGATAAATGCGCGCACATCGAGGCAAAGTACGGGAATGTTATTACATTAAGTTTTCTGCCATTCGAGATCTTATTGTTACTCGGGGAGGGGGGGAAGGGGACAAAAATTTATTTTCATACAGAAAACTTATCAAAAAATTTATATTTAAAGTCAGTCTTTAAGGATCTTTAATGTAAGCAAACTTTCGTACGAATGAATAAATGACAACATGAAAAGAATAATTTTATTAAAATTTTGTTAAAAACTCAAACTGCTAAAATATATTGCTTATCATTTTTTTTAGTTTCTAATTTAATTGTAATTTAATTCTCTTTATCAAAATTTGAGAGAGAGAAACGCCTTCCCTTCCCTTCTTGCATACGCTCATGTTTCTGTCTGTTGCTCAACGGATTCGTCACGATGGTCACGAATCATATATCGTCGCGAAAAGGCGAATAATAAATAGTACATGATTTTATTGCATTCTCGGTATAACCGCAAATTTTATATACGCGATCGATGTCGCAAAACAGATTTGCATCGTACGCGTGCAGTGAGCTTATTTAACGCCTACGTCATTCGACACGCCATGAATCGACGAATTTGATTAAGATTATCGCGTCGGCAAGCACTGTTCATCTCCATTCACAACACTCGAACCATTGATGCGTCGTTACCGATATTTATCGCCGCATTCTTTCCGTTCTTCGAAATTCCTGCTCGTATCCTCTCGGTTGTGCTTATACTCGGAATTTTTCGCGATATTTAATAATTTTGAAAGAAAATATCGAGCGAAACTAAACTTGAACATCGATTTTCTATTGATACTTTTACAATGAAAGACCCTTTTCTCTGTCGATGGCTGGCGAGAACGACAGAATGGGAAATGTCATCGTAATCGAAACGGTATTTTCATCCCTTGTTTTGTTTGATTCCGACGTGCCAAGAATAGATCGGTTCGACCGCACGCACGCACGCACACACACACATACACACACGCACGCACGCACGCACGCACGCACGCACGCACGCACGCACGCACACACACACACACACACACACACACACACACACACACACACACACACACACACACACACACACACACA